TGAGACAGTGGCTTGTTTTTGTTTTCTTGCTGATAGTTAAGTGGTGATGCCCAGGAAATGTGCCAGTTTAGTTTGACCTCTGACAGGAAGCTGTTTAAATGAATCAGATGATGTAGGGTTGTTCTTACTTTCCACAGTATGCACAACTAAACTTATCAGGGGATGTTTTTCATCTGAAACGAAACTTAAAAGGCGTATAAACACAATTTAGGAAGAACATTTTTTTTTCCACTCAGTATCTGAGCTTCAAGTTTTAGAAATTAGAGGGTGTAGAGTGTCTACTGACTCTTGCTTTTGTAGTTTAGCCAATAACTAAGACATCCAAGGATAACTGCAGTTCTAAGCCATGGTGGCCCTACTGATCTTTTTGCCAATAAAATTAAACTACAAAAATAAGGTCATGTAGAAAAACTGTAATACATATTCTGTTCCTTCTCTTTCACTCTATCCTTTGTTAACCCCTACTTCATAGGTTTGTCATTCTGTTTTCTCTCATTTGATATTTATTTCCACTGAGGGACAGAGTACAAACCAACACCCAATAGTTCAGAATGAAAGCTCTTTTCTCTAATTTCAACTACCACTGGAATGTTGTTCTCACCAAACTACTTACTGGCTGATTTTTTTTCATATGAAGTCATTTATTTTATGATATAACTGGTAGGCCAATCTAATCAGCCAATCTACAAATATTTATTGCTGTGATTCACAGTTGATGCTTTAGTGGAATCATTTTGGAAATGAATGCAATTATTTTGTTGCAATAGATTCAGATGTAATGGATTTAATTTCTCGTTCATACATTCAGCTATATTATATCTGCTAGCTATGTTGCTGAATAACAAACTACCCCAAAACTTAGTAGCTTAAACAATAATCATGTAGCTGATGTGTCTGTTCCTGGGCTGGGAGTTGGCTGATCTGTGTGGAGGTCAGCTGAGTGATTCTGCTAGTTTCAGCTAGACTTACGTACATCTCCAAGGCTAGCTGAGAGTTGGCTGATCTTGGCTAAGCTCATCTGCAGGTGACTCTCTTCTGGGTGTCTGTTTCCTTCTCCTGAGATCAGTAGATTATCCTGGAACATTCTTCACATGATGAGGGCAAAGCTATAGATGCTTAAGTCCAGTCCTGCAAACACATTTCAAGAGTTAAGAGGCTAACATGCCATTGGCTATAAATCAAGTCATATGGCCAAGTCCAGAGTGGGGAGCAGCCCACAGTGGGAAAGCACCCCAAAATTACAAGGCAAAAGACATGGATGATGGGAGGGTGAAGACCTGGAGCCAGGAATGCAACTTATTTGCATATATTAAGGTAGTCATTATAGACTTTTACTGAGTCAAAGGAGCCATTGGAGCCTCTATCCAATAATTACCATCCTAAGACATGAAGTAGAGCAGGCAGAAGCAGGCTGTGTCCATGTGTGTTCATCCAAGGACAACAGTTTCCCAGTATCGGAAATTTGGAAATACTATAAAATTTAAAGAAAAAGAAAAAGAAGTCACACATGTTCTGAATGATTACCCAAATATATGCTTATTATTTGGCATATTTCCTTTTTTTCTAACACTGTCTTCATTAATGGTATATAAATTTATATCTAGGTTTTTTTCTTAATAGTCTGTCATAAACCTTTCCTTTGTTATTAAAAAGGCTTTATAAATGCAATATTAATATCTGCATAGATATTCCATTGTATGGATGCATCATCACTAACTTAACCTTTCCCTTGCTCTTCAATGTTTTGGTTACATCTAGTGTTTTGTGATTATAAATAATGCCTCAGTAAGCGTATTTGTGCATAAATCTTTATCCACGTGTTGAGTTATTTCCTTAATGGAGAGAGTACTGGCTGGAGTGCAGAGCTCTGGGTTCTTCCACTAGTTTGTGGTATGACCTAGCCCTGCATGTCATTTTCCTCATTTATAAAATGATGTCTTTGAGCTTGGTGGCCTTAAACTTCTCTCTAACTCTACCACATCTTTCAGGATGGAGGACTGAATTGTTGTGTTGGCATGGAAACATGAAGGCAATACCAGTTGTTTGTCCTCAGAAAAGCTCAGGGGAGGAAAGGAAGCTCCCTTGGGCTTCTCACTTGAAAGTGTTCAGTTGTCTTTGAGAGAGGAAGTTTCCTTTTGCAGTTCAGGTATCATTGTTTGCCTTGCAGTCTCCATTCCCTGAGATGGCAGTAATGATATTTATTTGTTTTTATAGAGGGCTATGGGACATGAGCATTAAGAATATAAACTGTCCTGACCCGTTTATGAGTGTGCACGCTTTGAGAATGATCGAAAGAACTGGTTTCATTACCTGTCTTCATTTTGTCTTATAATTTTATATTCTCTTTTGTATTTATTTTTGCCTTATCTTTTGTTTGCCTTGTAACTTAGGTTTCTTCGCAGTTACCTTCACTGCACAGGCAGGGGATCTGGCCTTCTCCCTCAATTTCCTGGTACTTGTGTACAACTTTTTTCTCTGGGGTGCCTCCCTACTCTTCATTTCAATATGGATCGAGGCTATATTTCATCTATCTCTCTTCCAGCCTCTGCCAGGAATAAATATTGCTCAATTTGGGCAGGCTTTAAATGTTGACTTCAAAAAGCAGAGGCATCGACATGTCACTGCTGAGTGGAGACAGTGGCATCTATGCTGTCTCTCTCTCTCTCTCTCTCTCTCTCTCTCTCTCTCTCTCTCTTTCTCTCCAACGCTTACCCCAACTCTGTCCTAAGTGGGTCTTTCTTGCAGGGGACAGAGTCTTCTAGTTCCTAAGCTCCTTTTGGGAGAGGCATTAGAATCTTGGCTCTTGGTCCAGTCACTTCTCTGGGCTGAGCTGGGGCGCCGTCTGTGTCAAGTACAGAGTGATCTCCCCCCTCTGGCCACCATCAGAAGGGCCTTTGTACCCCAGCCCTGCCCCTCCGCCAGGATGCTGCCCACACCCCATGAATGATGGAAATCCCCTGTCAGAGCACAGCCCTCAGCAACCCTGCTCCAAAAGCAAAACATCTTCCACCAACAGAAGTCTTGCCCGTCTTTATTTTACCTTAGGAAATAAATTGGGGCTGGAATAATTCATCAAGTCAATTATAAATTGGATTTAGGGGAAAAATTATTTCCTTTTGTGAATGTGAACCTAACTTTTTCTGTGCTTGGAGGAAGTTGCTTATGAAATGCAATTTTAATAATTGTGAACTTTAGTTTTTAGTTTTTGTGTCCGCTCTTTCCCTCCCCCTGGCAATTCTGAACGATTTCCATGTAGCTTTTCATAAGAAAACTGGAGTCAAATTCTTAACAGTACAGTAATTTCATAATGTGTATGAATTTGCTTTCCTGAACAATAATGGGTCTCTAAGCAAGTGAAGAATGTGGTGTGTGTGTTTATACATTTTCATAATGCAAAGGAACATATCTTTGCTTTATTTTAGCCTCATTTTAGTAAAACTGGTATCAAGTAAGGAATGTGGATTTGGGGACCCATGCATGTGTTTTTTCTTGCTCTGTGCCTGTTTCCAACCTCCTGTTCCTTTCCTTTCCTCCCCTCCTTCCTGCTTTTCCAGGGCTGTGCTGAGGTGCTAGCCCCGAAGTAATTTGGTAAGAAAAACATGGTACTGCTTAGAGCCCAAAAAGGATATGCATTAGGTCAGTGGTCCCCAACCTTTTTGGCACCAGGGACCGGTTTCATGGAAGACAATTTTCCCATGGAGGGGGTGGGGAGGATGGGGGGATTGGGATAGTGGAGTGGTGGGGGCATGGGGGGTGGGTGTGGGGATGATTTCAGGATGATTCAAGCACATTACATTTATTGTGCAGTCAAACCTCTATGCTAATGACAATCTGTATTTGCAGCCACTCCCCAGTGCTAGCATCACCGCCTCAGCTTCACCTCAGATCATCAAGCATTAGATTCTCATAAGGAGTGTGCAACTAGATCCCTCGCATGCACAGTTTATAGTAGGGTTCACACTTCTATGAGAATCTAATGCTGAGGCTGATCTGATGGGAGGCAGAGCTTATGTGGTGATGCAAGCGATGGGGAGCGGCTGTAGATACAGATGAAGTTTCGCTTGTTCACCTGCCATTCACCTCCTGCCTGTGCAGCTGGTTCCTAACAGGCCATGGTACAGGTTAGCATCAGCATTAAGTGGTAGAGGGGCTCTGTCTGTTCTGTCTGGATGCTTGGTTGTTATCTAGCCCCAGGCCTGGTGATAATCAGGAAAACCTGTGGCAAGACAAGACCCAGACTCACCAAGCCCCAGCCCTTTTCCCAGGATGGGTATTTAGTCCATTTCAGCAAAGGGCAGATGGTTGTTACAGATTCTGAAGTCTCCCAAAGCACTCAGCAAAGTCTCTGGGAGCCTAAGTTAGGTTTAACACCTAGGTGGCATCACAGAGAAAGCAGAAGAGGACAAAAAAAAAAAAAAAGAAACAACCCAAAAAAACCCAACTGCCACCAACAAAAAAAATGGAGTGAGAAGGAAAAAAACCAAGAAGCCAAACAACTTTCCACTGGGGAGAAGGAGAGAGATCTACTCACCATTCTCTCCCATCCTCTCTCCTGGGCCCTCGGTTGCCAATCATTTGCCTGTTTCTTTCTTGTTTTTAAATGTGTTTATTTATTTATTTTTAAATGGATAAAACATTCTCTTGGTTTGAAAACCAAAAAGTCTAACTTACTGCGCATTCAGCATCCTCCGTCCTGTCCCATTCCCCAGGGACCCAGTCTCTTGCCTGCGCAAGAAGCCAGGTTTCTTTCTTTCATGAGTGTTCTTCCAGAGTCGCCTTACACATACTCACCAGCAAGCCAACGCAAGTGTAGATTCTCACTTTGCCAGTCATTTCCTTATCCGTTTATCTCCTCTCTCACATGCTCACTTTATTTCCTTTTATTCTGCTCTCAATGATGCTTTCTTGAGCTTTCTTCCAGGAGAAAGATCAGTGGTCGTTTGTTCTGCTTATGCCCGATGCCCTGAACGAGTTCACGTGTGCTTGTCTTTTTCCCTCAGATGAGGTGGAAAGTGAGAAATGGTACCTGTCTACAGACCTCCCTTCAACAACTATCAAGACAGAACCGATTACAGATGAGCCACCCCCAGGACTTGTTCCCTCTGTCACTCTGACCATTACAGCCATCTCCACCCCTTTCGAGAAGGAGGAATCTCCTCTGGAAATGAATACTGGGGTATACTCAATTTTCTTTCATATAAACAGGTCAGATTAAAAGATACAGATCCTCATTGTCTCATAAGGCATTTAATCTTTTTGGCGTTAGTGGCTGTATGTATTTAAGGACATATAACTATGGATATATTTATGTATTTATGCATATTATCAAGGGTATGTTGATTTTTTTATCAGCTTCATTTGAAGTCACTGTTCAGAAACATTGGTTGCAAAGCTGATTTCATCTTTTCGTTGATTACTATTACAGAATATAAAACGTAGATGATATCCATGGTAAAAATAAATTCCCCATGGCACTGATTTTTGAGCAGTGGAAAGGAGGTGGTTAAGATGGTGATGCAATCCATGGCTTAAGAGTGCGTGGCTGTTGGGAATACTAGTTCCTGTGTAATGTTTACTTTCCCGGTGCAATGCTGACCTGCCCTTACTCAGTGCAGCAACCTCCCACCTACTGATACTTATTATGTTACCCGTGGAAAGCATAAGAAGTCAGGAACTTCTTCCTTGCTTGATTCTACATCTACAGCAAATTGAATTTAATTTTATTCCACCTTCTTTTTGAGTATTTCCAGTGTCTGGTAATGGACCAGAATCAGACTTGAGCATCTTTTTACGGAGTTGGAAGCCAGTCTTAACTTTCCTTAAGTTTAAAGCCTCGGGTTATAAACAATAACTCTGTCAACACTCCTTAAGTCAGATTCTCTATGAGCAAGACAGAGTGCCTGCCTGTTCAGGAAAAGGTGCTGTGGACTGAGTAGAGCCACAGAAGCATCACTGGATACTCACTTCTTAGTCCCTTTGTGTAGAAGATGAAGGGCTGTAGACAGAAGACCTCTGTAGCTGCCCTGTAGGGTTCCTGTCTCCATAGCACCCTGAGTCGCTTTATTGGACTGGCCTCCTGGAGTCTGTATTAATCTCCTTAAGATTTGGATCCATAAGATTTTAGTTCAGTTACTTTTTCAGTATGTAACTAACAAAGCTCAGGGTCATGGCCTTGCTCCCTATGTATGGGTCAGATAACTTCTCTCCGTTCCCTACTGGCTATTTCATGGTTAGATGTTGTCAGTCGTCAGGGAGCTGGAGGAAAAGGATGTCAGTTGATGCACAGTCCTTACCGCAGAACAAACTAGTGGAGCCTGGTGACCCTTTAAAAATTACCAGAATATTCTGTGATAAAATGCATTTATAGTACCACAAAAACAATAGAAAGAAGCACTGATAAGTGAGCCTTGGGCTTTTAATTTTCGGGTTCTGAGGGTTCCATCAGCTGTAATATCAGGTTTGGCAATGAGAAGAAGGTTAAGAACTAAAATGACTCCCCGCCAAAGAAGCTACCTATGCTCAGCTGTGCTCTAGAGAGGCAGGGTGGTCCCAAGAGGAAGACACAGATGACAAATAGCTCTCCTGTATGTTTCTTCAAGCCTGTAATTGGTTTTTAAAAATTGTGTTCTTTTTTCAGGTGGATTCCTCATGCCAGACCATTATTCCTAAAATTAAGCTGGAGCCTCATGAAGTGGATCAGTTTCTGAACTTCTCTCCTAAAGAAGGTCTGTCTACTTTCCCTGCCCTCCTTCGTGTTACTAGGTGTAGCTGTGTAGCTGCCCAGTCTAAAGAGAAAGAGAGTATGGGCGAGGGTGCTGGGATTAGTTCATACCACAAGTGTAGCTTGCTTTATGAAATAGCTCTGTTCTTAAAAACCTTGCTTCCATATAAAAATTTTGAAACCTAAATGTTATGTTCCCATATATGCACATGCTTGATTTCCAGCTAAATGTTCCTGTACCTTTGCTCCCAGCCAGGGTGATTTTTCAAAACCTTTATAGACTGCTACAACGTGGGCACTGACATACAAGAGAACGGCAGCCTCAAGCCTTCTCGGTATGAACATGAGACAGCCCCGCATGTAAACAGCAGTCCACAAAGGCGCCTTGCTTCATTAAAACAACTCCAGTTTCAACCTTTTGTAAAGTGAATTCACAATTTATCTGTCTGGCCAATTTGGTGTTTTTGTTTTTGTTCTTAAATTATGTCTTTTGAATCATAAAATTCAGTGTTTTAAAATGTTGACTTTGGATGACAGCAGTTGCAAGGAGCCCCTTACCTATATTGTAATGTCCGTGGCCCCTAATTATGCATCCCATTGGGCTTCTTGCCATCCATTTAGAACTGTGTAATGTTTACTTTCCCGGTGCAATGCTGAGCTGCAAGCTGAATCATACTTGAAGTTGTCATACTTTTACATTTTTCTTTCTCCATGTTTGTTTAAAGGTAAATAAAAGGCCAACCCTGATTAAATTGACTAGAATCTATATTGAGACACTATTTCTTTGCATTGAGTGATAAACATTAGAGCCTTTCAGTTTTATGTACTGCTGTAAGGTAATTTCTTTCATTTTTATGCACCAGTTATTACCATCAAATGCATCTTGCTGTTTTAATTTATGTTGCAGTATGGTTCAGTAAGTGTCGTAAGTGTAATAATGAATCCCATGGTGCCTTCAGAATTTGGGGTCACTGGAGGAGAAATGTTTTAAGAATACAATAAAGGGCAGTCTTTCCTCATTATCCTGGATAAACAGAGATAAGGAAATTCAATATCCTTGAATGCATCAGAGTTTCTAGGCAAAGTAGCTTGTTGTCCCCAGACCTTGCAGTAACCCAAGAGTGGCATTTCAAATGATATTTAGAAATCTGATACTGAGGCACCTGTGGCCAGGTCAGTAGCTCTCAATAAGTAGGAAAGATGAGATTCAAGTTTGTTTCACTCACTTTTCTTGTCATTCCATTTCTGCTCTTTGTGGGGTGCCCTCTGCTTGGAGAGAACAGTGTTAGAATGATTTGGCCTGTGTCAAGTGAAAGGGACAGGGGAGCTCTAGGTACTCTTGGCTAATTTTGGGGAATATAACAGCACAGAGTGGCAGGAAAATGGAGCCCCTAACAGGTTAGTGTGCTGGCTGGTGGTGTGTGTGTGTTTTACCATAAAGTGCCATAGATTCATGGCATTAGAAAAACCTTGATTAACACTCTTAGGACTCCTACTTTCTAGCCCAGCACATACATATTTAAGGCACATGCTCACTTTCTTTAGCTGCCTGCAACTGTTGCCTGGAGTGTTGGGAATAGAGTATATAGGATTATTTTAGAATATTCTTTAGTTTTAAGAGTGCACACAGACATTAAAAAGCCCAGGGAGCTCTTTGGCAAGACTTTGGCAGAGAAAAATGGAAAGAAGAAGCATCTAGATAAAAGTAGTATGTTGAGAGAGAGAGAGAGAGAGAGAGAGAAGAAAGAAAAGTGTGCTGGGGTGGGGGTGGCTGAGAGGGACGATGCCTATTGTCACCTTGGATATTCAGGTTTTTAAGTAGGAGAGAGAGCTGCCTGACTGCTGCCTGTCATCTCCTAGGGCAGCTGTGGGTCAGCACGGACAGTGCTGTGTGTCTCAGAACGGACAGTCTCCATCTGAAGGAGAGAATGGATGAAGTGCTGAGGCTCCCCACAGCCTCCAGCAGTTCTCTGGCCGAGCAGACCCAGCTGTGCACGAAGCACCTGGGCACCGTGCCCACCGCAGAGCTGCCGTTCTAAAGGCTCTATTGTCCTGGGGGCCCCAAGAGTGAAGGGGTCACCTGAAGTTATCTCTTTTGGCTCAGTAACAGTGGCTGGCACAACAGAAATATCCACTATTAAATCCAGATTGGATTCTTCCTTCAGAAACCCCTCCCTGCGGCCTGGAGAGGCCTGATGGACACCGACTAGGGCTTGCAGGCCCTGGCAGAGAGGAGTGTGTCGTGCCTTCCTGAGGAAGGGCAAAGGGTGGACTTTTGCATGCTGGCGCATGTTGGAGGAGAAAGCTCCCCATTGCCCCTCTTATTTTTCCTGTGCCTACTCATCTATCTAAAGGTGATTTAGTATTTTCTGAATGAAGACTGCTTGGCACCATGCCCGCGGGCCTGACCAGCACATTCCTCCAGAAATGAATGAGCTTTTCTCAGAGCAGCCATTGGGAACCC